ACGGCATTTACTACATTTGTCACAAATATTCTATTTTAAAAATTTTCTCATTCAGAAGAAAGTCGTTTCAGTTGATATTACCATGAAAATTTTATGATAGTTGTATAATCATTAGGATGATAGTGTTCATTTATCTTTGGTTTCCTAGAATAAATTAAGACGTACTTACATACATAGTAGTTCTCATAAGGAATGACTGGATTGAACGACCTTCAACATCCTATTCAGTTATATATTTTCCTGTAAATAGGCGTGTTCGTTATGATCGACGATTGAAAAACTACAGATATATGAATGCTTATAACAAAAATTTGATTCGTTGGTTTTTCTTTGTTTCAAGTAAATACTTCAAAACGCTGTAATAATCAATGAACACAAGGCAGCTGAACGAATTTAACGAAGTCCCTCGTAAGTGTCAGGTATATCAACTACTTGCTGTTCTAAATGAAAATGATTGGTATTCAAAATAATTTCAAAGTTTGAGATAATGAGGATCAAATTTCTTTTTAGCCGTAATAATTCTTGAATATAACAAAGATACATATAGAATACCAAGATCTACTTTTTCTTATCCCAGATCAAATTTCTTAAAGAACTCATTAACATTTGTTTGCTGTAATATTATTTTGGTTGGGTCGAGTTTCTTTCCACGTAATAATAACTCGAAGAATTTTGGTGTACGTACTTTTTTTCTGTGGTTTGTTGTTCGGTATTGACATACTAAAAACGAAAGAAGAAAATTATTTATCTTATCAATATTTTCAGTAAAATCGTTTTATTAAAACTTATTCACTTAGGACATACTAAAACTAGTACTGTCGTATTTAGTCATTTTTTAACTAATATTATAGAAATAAAACTTCGGCAAAGAGAAGTTTATTACTAACTATAACGATTTTGCATAAAAAAGTGGCGAAGTATTTTTTGAATAACTTTTGATAGGCAACGAAAGACAACTACGATTGTCACGATTACAAAAGAAAATGAAGATACCTCCAACCATATGTTACATCTGTCTAAAATGAGAATTCACTTCGAGTGTCAATTAGAATACAGATAACTGCTAAATGATTAAATTTAAACTTCTGTAGTTCTAATAAATACATGCTAGATGAAAGTTTATTTTACATAACTGATACCGTCGGTTGCTTCCAGAAAGATCGACTAAAAATCTAATTTAGAAGCCTTATAATGTAGAATCTTGAGGATGTGGATGGGTGTGGGTGTGGATAGTTATATCCTATTATACCCACACCCACACCCTTAAATAACGAGGACTGTATTAAAAACTCAGTAGTTTTAATCACAATCAGGTCTATATGCAGTTATCGATGTTACAATCCTATTTTTGGATCAAAATAAACAGATGAGTTTCAATGTGATTAAACTCTAGATTAAATCAATTCGCAAAATATATCTCCGATAGATTTAAAAGCAATTACTCTACCTGCTCACTGGTGTGATAACTGACGGGGGATTGGCTGCAGCAGCTTTCGATATTTTTGGAGCAACCTTAAAAGAATACAATTAGTGGTTTGATTTCCCAATGAAATAAAAAGAAGACACTCACTTTTGTTACAGGTTTATGAAGAGAATTTGGTGCTTCAATTTCTTTTGGTGTAGCAGCTGTCGATATTTTTGGAACATCCTTAACAGATTACAATTAATGGTTTAATTTCACAGTGAAATAAGAAAAAGATACTCACTTTTGATACAGGTGGATGAAGAAAATATGGTGCTTCAGTTTCTTTAGGATGTTGTGAATCATCATCATCAGAACGTTTTGTAACCATTGTTGAAATCGAAATTAATATGGATTCTACAAGAAAAAAATAAATATATTGATCCTTTTCGGAAAATATAATATCATTCATTAAGTAGAGATACATGTTCATCGACAAGAATTTCTTTTCGATAACATGTGATGTGATTCTATCAAAAAATTGACTGGAATTTTCCAAACATTAAAAAAAGAGGTTGCTCTTCAATTGATAAGATACTATCTTGAGGGTGTGGGTGTGAGTGCCAAGGATGAATATTCATACTCACGTCCACACCGTCACCCGCCCCTGTACTCACACCCACCCTCAAAATGGTAGGAATATGATTGTACGAAAAAGATTAAGCGAAGTTGTGTTGATGCACTTACTTTCAAAAGTTATGAATTTTTTTTCATTCCTTTACAAAAACAGCGACCAAAGGATTTCAACGGTTCAATTTTTTTCTCATTACATCTCTAATTCTCTATTATTTTCAACTAAATTTATGTGCATGAACTTTATATAGAATGACAAATTAAATTTTTACTTTTTAACTTCAGAAAAAAAACAGGATATTTTCAAGCAAAACTCGTGTTTTTTACGTCTTAAAGTATATTCTACCTGATATATGCTGTTGACGTAGAGTTGAGTTTGTTGCAGTTATACGTCGTTAATATTAGTTGCTCCTGTTTACAGGTGAGTTTTGTTTTATTATCTTGGCGAAAGAAGAATTTTTATCATTTTTTGATATCATTGTGAGAACAGATCTGTCGTTGCGCATAGCTTCTACTGACGTTGTTGTGATGAGAAAAAAGCGCGCAGTAACAAAAACTTGTTTGCTTACGCCGTGAAAATGGGTTGGAAAAACACATGTGGAGAATTAGGGTAAACATGCACTAAAACCAAATAGTTTGGGTTCTCTGGGTTTGCATATTGATTTTAAGGTTTGGGTGTGGGTGTGGGTTAGTGTCAGCAAGAATAAGTCTCCACACCCATACCCACACCCACCCACACCCTCAAGATGGTTTTTCAAAGTTTCTAATCAACATCTACTACCTTTTCTCATATTTATATGTATTGTTTATCTTATCAACATTACAGATCGATAAATAAATCATCTGATTTACGTTTCTGACATCTCAGTATCTCTTCCACAAATATTTTCAAACTTTTTAAGTCGTTAAACGAACACCACATCAGAAACAACAAATATTTATTGAAATTATTAAAACATCAAAAGCAAAGTAATAAGGATGTTTATTCATTGCAAGGTAAACCCAAAGCAACTTGAATACTATTCATTCCTGTATCAATAAACACTAGATCATCTCTTCCATCTCGATCCAAATCAATTACTTGCAATGACTGACAACATTTATCAATGCAACCAATATGAGTTCCAAAAGATAAATCTTTCCGTTCAAAAAGTCCATGTTTTGAGCCAATAAATATTGTTACAGTTCCATTGCAATGTAATATAGCTAAATCATCGATTCGATCATTATTAAAATTAATTCGAGCAATAGATGTCGGATAGTGATCTGTGAGATAAATCATTGGAATGGTCTTCCAGTCCAACAGCACTTTATCTTTATAGCGAAGTAAAACTTGTAATGTGTC